CTAGATGTGTTTCTTTTACATAAGTAGGAGGCTTTATATTAGGGGCATAGATATTCAGGATTGAGACTTCCTCCTGATGAATTGTTACTGTTATGAGTATAAAATGTCTGTCTCCATCTCTTCTGATTTATTTTATTTTGAAGTCAATTTTGTTGGAAATTAGAATGGCCACACCTGCTTGTTTCTTAGGTCCATTTGCTTGAAAAACCTATTCCCAACCCTTTACTCTGAGTAGATGTCTGTTTTTGTGGTTGAGGTGTGTTTCTTGTAAACAGCAGAATGTTGGATACTGTTTTCGTATCCAATCTCTTAGTCTGTGCCTTTTTATAGGTGAGTTGTGTCCATTAATATTAAGTGATATTAATGACCAGCAGTTGTTGACTCCGGTTGTTATTATTTTTTGTTTGTTTGTTTAATAGAGTTTGTATGTGTCCCTTCTTTGAGTTAAGGTCGTGAAGGGTCGCTTGATGTCTGAGTTATTGTAGGCAGTGTTGGCAATGTTGGATTCCTTGGGTTGCAATTTTCCTTCTATTACTTTGTGTAAGGCTCTGTTTGTGACTACGAACTGTTTAAATTTGTTCTTATCCTGGAATATTTTGTTTTCTCCATTGATAGTGAATGATAGCTTGGCTGGGTATAGTAGTCTGGGTTTGCATCCATGGTCTCTTAGTTTCTGCAATACCGCTATTCAGGACCTTCTGGCTTTCATGGTTTCCATAGAGAAGTCTGGTGTAAGTCTGATAGGTTTACCTTTATAAGTTACTTGACCTTTTTCCTTTGCAGCTCTTAATATTCTTTCTTTAATCTGTATGTTTTGTGTTGTGATTATTATATGGCGAGGGGATTTTTTTTTGATTCAGTCTATTCAGTGTTCTGTATGCTTCTTGAACCTTCATAGGAATATCATTGTTTATGTTGGGAAAATTTTCTTCTGTAATTTTTTTGAATATATTTTCTGGGCCTTTGATCTGCAGTTCTTCTACTTCTTCAACCCCTATTATTCTTAGATTTGGTTTTTTTATTTTGTCCCAGATTTCTTGAATGTTTTGTGATGAGAATTTGTTGGATTTGCTGTTTTCTATGATCAGAACATTTATTTTCTCTATGGTATCTTCAGACTCTGAGATTCGTTCTTTCATCTCTTGTATCCTATTGGTTATGCTTGATTCTGTAGTCTCTGTTCGTTTACCTAGTTTTTCCATATCCAGCCGGCCCTCGTTTTGTGTTTTCTTCATTGCCTTCATTTCAGCTTTCAATTCTTGAACTGTTTCCATTACCTGTTTCATTGTTTTTTCTTGGTTTCCCAGTGTATCATTCACGGATTTACTCATTTCTTCGAACTTTTTGTTATACTTCTCATCCATTTCTTTACTTATTTCTTCAATCTTTTTGTTGTATTTCTCATCCAGTTCTTTAAGGGAGTTATTCATATTTTGTTTAAGGGACTCTATTGCTTTCCTAATGGCACTTTTTTCTACTTCTGAATTAAGAGGTTCAGGTCCTTCTATTGTAGGGTCGTTGGGATCTGGTGTTTTCATGTTGTTTTTTAGATTGTTGGAGGATTTCTTGCCCTGGCGTCTGCCCATCTCTTCCTTCAAATGCTCTCTATTGGATCTTCTGGTACAAGGTCAGTTTCCCTTGCTGGGCAGAGACTTCACTGACAGAAGGCCTACCTTTCCTCAGGCAGTCTATTGAAACACAGGGACTCCCTCCTGCCGGGTTGTATTCACAGCCCTGGCCCAGCACGCAAGGGAGCTGCTCTGGGGAGATCTTGTGGCCCCAGGGGGAAGGGGGGAAGAGAGCAAGGTGTACCTGGATGAAGGATGGGATGGGATTCGGGAGAGCTCCGCAGGGTGGAGCCACCACTGCAGGGCGACCAGAAAGTCGAAGGTGGCAGGGAAAATCTGAATTCCTCCTAGCTGAAGCCCTCGGGCCAGGAGCAAACTCACTCCTCCAATGGATGTCTGCTAGAAGTTCACTGTCCCTTGCTGACCAGGAATGTGGCTGAGCAGACACAGTGCCTGTCTGTCCTCGGGGAGGCTATCAAAGCACAGGAACTGCCCCTGCCGGGCTGAGCCCACAGCCCAGGCCCAGCGTGCAAGGGAGCAGTTCTGGGGAGATCTTGTGGCCCCAGGGGAAATGGGGGGAGAGAGGAAGGTGTACCTGGGTGAAGGCTGGGATGGGATTCGGAAGAGCTCCCTTGGATTTCTTCTATGTCTGTTATTATGTGCCTTTTTCATTTCTGATTTTGTTAGTTTGGATATTCTCTTTCTCTGCTTTTTGGTTAGTTTGGATGAATGTTTGTCTATTTTGTTGATTTTCTTGAAGAATCATCTCTTTGTCTCATTGTTTCTTTATATTGTTTTCTTTATTTCTATTTTGTTGGTTTCAGCTCTCAATTTGATTATTTCCTACTGTCTAGTTCTCTTGGGTGAGTTTGCTTCTTTTTGTTCAAAAGTTTTCAATTGTTCTGTTAAAACAATAGTGTAGGATTTTTTCAACTTCTTTATGGAGGCATTTAGTGCTATGAACTTTCCTCTTAACTCTGCTTTTATTGTGTCCCTTAAATTTGGGTATGTTTTGTGGTCATTTCCTTTGAATTTTAGAAAGTTTTTAATTACTTCTTTTATTTCTTCCTTGGCCCATTGATGCTTCAGGTGAGCATTGTTTAATTTCCATGTTTTTGTGGACTTTCTGCAATTATTGCTGCTGTTGAATTCTAATTTTAAGTCATGGTGATCTCATAAGATAAATGGGGTTATTCCAACTTTTTGTATCTGTTAAGATTTGTTTAGTTATCTATTATATGGTCAGTTTTTGAGAAGGTTTCATGAGGTGCTGAGAAGAAGGTGAAATCTTTTTTGATTGAGTGGAATGTTTTTTAGATATATGTTAAGTCTATTTGCGTCATAACATCTATTAGTTCCCCTATTTTCCTGTTAAATTTTTGTCTGACATACATGTTCCATGGTTTGAGTGGAGTGTTGAAATCTCCCAAAAAATCCACATGGAGAAAGAAGGAAATCATAAACACCTGGATTCAGTAGTTTGTGTTGACTCCAACTTCTAGAATTTGACTCCGGTTTTCTCAAGATACAAGATACATTGAGGTCAGCATTTAGCACCTCTTTTCACCATATTTTGTTTAATAGTTATATTCTGATATCCAACAACAATAATCATGAATTGTAAATTGAATGCAAATTTGTTTCAGGAAACACAATATCCCATCCAAGAACATGCCGTTTAACACAATGCACTTGAGCTAAAAGTCTTTTCCTTTTTCTTCCTGGAGACTCTCATATTTCACCAAGGCATTAATTGGTATACTTCATTTTGACTATAATTTGACACTTTAAATTATTGAGTTTGTTCATTATTACTTTGGGGAGTTATTATGTCCTGGTCACTGATAGTACAAGGACAGTATGTATGGACTATTATCTACCTCCAGCTCCAGGTATCAAAGTAGAAAATGTAATATACATATTTTCATTAAATTGACAACCCTGTGTATTTAACATTCCTGTTTTCCCCAGTTCTATCTTTGAGCACATGAACCTTTGTACTCCCTACAAATCACAGCAATTTCCTACCTTCAACTCTCCTATATACTACACATTCCTGTCCTCCTTCAAGTTTATGTCCTTTTTTCATGCATTAGTATTTTTAAACATAAATTTGTATGTACATATAAGCCTAAACACAAGAAGACCAATACACACAATGTTACAATTCTGTATGTTTTTAGGGCTATACATTGGTTGTTGCAAAATCAATTTATGTGCTCTACTCTGGGAAAGATTACCACTTCCACTCCCTGCTTTCCTAAATGACTATAGAGGTCTTTGTTTGATGTTGTTTCCTTGTAGCTTTTGTGACCAGTTTAGCATACCCACTGGTATCCTCCAACTACGTCTCACTGATTTGAACCATAATTGTAGAAAATTTCTAATAATCTATGTAGTGTGTCATTTACTGTCCTACCAGATCCATAATAATGACAGGGAGACTGCTTAATATGGATGCTTGGTGTTAACTTTGGCTTGTTTCCAATTAGGTTCAATAACTTAAATTAACCATTATTTTTAATCTACATTCTGCCACACACTGCAAATGCTGCTTTCTCATTGTCTACTGGAAGCCCATCTGCCTGTTTCAATTTCTCCTTCTAATTCTACTCTCTGCCAGGGAGTCCTTCCTATGCCTCATGCCTAGATATTATTTATTCATTATCCTATTATACCAATCATTGCAATCCACATTCACACACTATAGACATATTCCAGGACAATTATACTCTACGCATGTTTTCATTGTTGCTGTCGACCTTGGAAGAACTCACATTTATTAGACACTGCCATTAGAAAATAGATAATCAGAACCAAAAATTGCAATGAAAATTGGTCAAAATCTTTAACATTTTTATTGAAAAGACACAGAATAAAAAGATTTGAAGTTTAAATCAAGCTTATATTGATGTAAAATAACTAAAAAATGAAGGAAAATAATATATAGAATATAATATCATTACATAAGCAACCAAAAGCTAAGAAATGAAATATTCATCAAAATCTGAAATAATTTGACTTTGTCTGGTTCTTTAACTAGGTATGTTAATGTACAATTGAGAAATGTTACTGCTTAATTATTTCTACTAAAAATATTTACTTCTTCTTAATAGTTGATGCTTGAATAGTATATTTAAAACAATGATGCATTTATTTCATTTTCAATGAATGTTTGATGACAATAAACTTTAAATCTGGAGAAAATATTTTTAAATTTATAAGAACTACATATCTGTATAAATATTGACAAAACTTTGAAATTAATTGAAAGATGTATGTCTATGTAATATCACGGTCAATGTATGAAGATTTACACAATGAATTAATGTGAGGTACAATAAAAAAATTTATGAAATGTATCCATTATACACTATATGATTTTTGTGATGCACTCTAATAGGTGAGTTTGTGTTAAAGTATTTGCCATACTCTTTATTTATATTTGTAAGGTTTGTCAGCAGTATGGAGTCTCTGGTGAGTGTGAAGAGTTGATAGCTGTGTAAAGGACTTGCCACATTCTTGACATCTGTAAGGTTTCCCACCAGTATGGATTCTGTGACGATTATGAAGAGTTGATACATGGGTAAAGGACTTGCCACATTCTTGACATCTGTAAGGTTTTTCACCTGTAAGGATTCTGCAGTGTCTGTGAAGATCTGAGGACTTGATAAATGACTTGCCACATTGTTGACATTAATAAGGTTTCTCACTAGTATGAATTCTACTGTGTGAATGAAGATTTGAGAAAGTTGTAAAGTTTTTGCCACATTCTTGACATCTGTAAGGTTTCTCACCAGTATGGATTCTGTGATGATTATGAAGAGTTGATACATGGATAAAGGACTTGCCACATTCTTGACATCTGTAAGGTTTCTCACCAGTATGGATTCTGCAATGTCTGTGAAAATCTGAGGACTTGATAAATGACTTGCCACATTGTTGACATTTATATGGTTTTTCACCAGTATGAATTCTATTGTGCAAATGAAGATTTGAGAAAGTTGTAAAGTACTTGCCACATTCCTGATATTTGTAAGGTTTTTCACCAGTATGGATTCTTTGATGATTATGAAGATTTGAGACCCTTGTAAAAGACTTGTCACATTCTTGACATCTGTAAGGTTTCTCACCAGTATGGATTCTGTGATGAGTATGAAGATTTGAGTCCTAGGTAAAGGCCTTGCCACATGTTTGACATCTAAAAAGTTTCTCACCAGTATGGATTCTTTGATGAGCTTGATGTTTTGCAAGTCGGGTAAGTGATTTGCCAAAATCTTTACAAATGTATGCCTTCTCTTTGAGATTAATTCTCTTATGCCTTGTGAGGCATGAACATCTGTTGTCATACTCATATTTCATATTGTTGTTTTGTCTCTCATCATTTTGATTGCTTATATAATGTTTTCCATCTTTCTGGTCATGATGGAAAAAAAAGGTGTGTGTTATAAAAAAAACCTTACAATTATCCAATTATCATGTATGCATTGGCCCTTAGGATAAACAGACTTCTTCTTTGTATTTAAATAATGAATAAAGCCATATTGTGATTTGATGTTTTGAGAGTTTCTTTTTTTAAGATGATGATCCTGGTAACTAGTCTTCCTAGAGTTCCTAAGAAAGGCTTTAATATCATCATTAAATGTATGAGGCTTCTCACAACTAGAAAAGCTATAATATACTTTTAGTATCATTTCCTTGAGAAAAACCATCCCATGTATATGTCAATTGAATTGCTTGTCACAAACTATAATTATTAACTAAGAGAAATTTAATGAATATTTAATAGAATATATTCTGTTCAATCTTTAGGTTTTTAAAAATTATTCATAGAATAAAAATGTTTTGTGGGAGGTCCTTCTATCTATATCTTGCTTTTATTGGTTAATGAATAAAGAACTGGCTTTGCCTATAGCATGGGGGGAGGAAGGTGGAGTCAGTGAGAAGTGATGGTGCTGCCAGAGACAGATTCTTGGAACTTTAGTTGATAAGCCACAGACATGTGGCAATACACAGATTAAAGCAAATGGGTTAAATTAATATGTAAGAGTTAGCCAATAAGAATTTAGAGCTCAGTGGGCCAAGCAGTGATTTAATTAATATGATTTCTGTGTGATTATTTCCAGTCTAAGCTAACCAGGTGACTGGGAAACAAAAGGCAGCTTCTCCAACAAATTAGTAACAATGTGGCTATCTAAATTCACTTAAAACTGAAGAGTGCTTGCAAAGAAATTCTAGACACTAAGAAAAAAAGAATAGCAACTTTTTTCAGCTAGTAGCTTGCCACAGCTACTTTATGAAAGATTTTCCTGATTCAGTGGTATCAAAAGAAAAATAGCTGCACTCCTTTGAAATACTGACTTTCTGGGCCATGCAACCTTTGATGGAGTTGAAGAATTTATAGTTATAGTTATAGTTTTCCTTAGATATGATAAAATATATAATAGATATAAATATTGTAACTGTAATTCTTATTTTATACCTGTTTTGTTATATGTAATTTTTCTATGCTAGTGTTAAAGCCTTCCTTTTTGTTTAAACAGAAAAAGGAAAATGGTGTGGGAGGTCCTTTTGTCTATGTGTTGCTTTTATTGGTTAATGAATAAAGAACTAGCTTGGTCTATAGCATGGCTGGAGGAAGGCAGAGTCAGAAAGAAGCCATGGAGCCTCTGGAGACAGATGCTGGGAACTTTAGCCAGTAGACCACAGCCATGTGATGATTCACAGATTAATAGAAATGGGTTAAATTAATATTTAAGAGTTAGCCAATAAGAACTTAGAGCTAAAGGGTTAAGCAGTGATTTAATTAATATGGATTCTTTGTGATTATTTTGGGTCTAAACTAGCTGGACAACCAGGAGCCAACAAGCAGCTTCTCCAACAAAAACATGCTTTAAAACTTTATTTATATTGTTTTACTCAAGAAAGTGGTCATGAAAATGTAAATAATTTAATGTGAAATCTTTGAAGATAAGGTAGAGATTATTGACCTTTTTCCAGGAATACCAAGGGTGGTTGCTGAATATAGATTCTTTCAATCATGACATAATCCATTCTCTTTTCATTTTTCCCCAATTTTTGAGAACATCCTTAAATGCAACTTTTTAAGTCACTACTTACAGCTATCCCTGATACAAACTTCGGGATAGAATCTTTTCTCTTCTCCTCGATGAATAGATCTTGAGTTTGATGAGAATACAAAATGGAAGAAAGAAAAATATATAATTTCTTAATTAGCATACATGGGTGAAACTTTTTCAGATATATAAGTGACACAATTCTATGAATATGTAGACCCGTATACAAGGTGGCATATTACAAAAAATATACTCTTTAAACCATTTATTCTAATGAAACAATATATTTAAAACAAATGGATAAAATGTCTTGTTTGACATACATTAAATAAATTATAAAACTGGAATGATTAAAGTTAGGTTAACTTAGAGATTCCAAACATAATTTTGAAAATAATAAATAAGACTATGATGGGTGGAGTGAAATGACCCCATATAAGCAGATGTCTGATTATATATATGGCCTGAAATTGGTAGATATGTATGGAGATGATAAAGAGGTATCAACTTCCTGGGACTCCTAAGTCCCTGGAGGGTGATTTGAGAATTTTAATGCCTTCAACTGCCAACAGTGACCTCTCTGCTTCCTGCTGTGGTTCTAGAGGGGACCTCTCACTGTTGCTCTCGCCCCTTGCCAGCTACTAACTCTGATTCATCATAATAGCTCTTTATTCCGTATATTGCCTTTGTCTTGCAGTTTTATCACAACAATTGAAAATTCAAGTGATTAAGATAGCTTGCATCAGACTTGAGCAAGCTCAAGGCAGATTAAAATCTTATGGAGAAAGTAAGAGGGGACATGGAGATCCACACCTTGATGAGAAACCCCTATCATCTGAAATATGCTTGTAGAAAGGAAATAATGTTTATTTTAAGAATGTGTTACTTCTGATGCTTCACCTATATTGCACACATGCACAATAGGCAGAATTGTATGAGAATTACAGATGAAAACTCTGTAATTGTAAAAAAAAAAGTAGAGAAGGAAACAATGAAGTATGGAGGAAGTGGAACGTGGGAGGATTGGGGAGTTTATTTTGGTCAAATGTCCCTTTAAGATATTCTTAAACAACTAATAAAGGAATTAAAAATAAAATATCATGCATATACAAATCTGCTTCTCCAAGCAAACTAAAATATAGATAGAGATAAACAATGAGGGAAAACAAGAGAATACACAACCATTATGTGAAAAGTAATATACAAATTTTGATATTCAGAGATTTGCATATGATGTTAAAATAAGCTAATAACATGAATAAAACAAACAACTCTTAATTTCGAATGAATATTTTACAGAAATAGGAAAATATACTTTTTAAATTCTGTAGAGTCTAACACAACGAATAAACTCTACAATCTTCCAAAATGGATACAACTATTAAATTTATATTTATAAAATTTATTATAAATTTATATTTTTTGATTTTATGTGATACTACAAAACAGTGAAAACCATGTAATACTACCATAAGTTCAGACAAATAGACATGAACATATACAGAGAAATACTCTTTCAAATACTGTGAGATTTTTTAATGTTAATTTTCATTTCAATATAGTTTATTTCTGAGCCTGGTGGCATTCATGGATATAGTAACAAATCATCTTCCTTTCCCTTTATAACATAATTTAACTATTCAAAGTGAACTTTTAAGTCATTTTATGTGAATGAAACCTATAAATTAAATTTGGGATAATTATTCAGTATGAATTTTGATGTAGGCAGGCCTTCTGCCTATGTGTTATTTTCATTAGTTAGTAAAGAGACTGCCTTGGCCCTTTGATAGGACAGAAAATTACGTAGGCGGAGTAAACAGAACAGAATGCTGGGAAGAGGGCAATGAGGCAGATGCCATGGAGCCAGCCACCAGGTCAGACATGCTGAATCTTTCCCGGTAAGCCACCACTTTGTGGTGCTACACAGATTATTAGAAATGAGTTAATCAAGATGTGAGAGTTAGCCAGTAACTAAGTATCTAGAGATAATGGGCCAGGCAGTGTTTAAATGAATACAATTTGTGTGTTGTTATTTCTGGGGCTAAGCTAGCTGTGCGGGAGCCGGGTCGGACAAAAAGCAGGCCTGCCCGCAGCTCCTTGCTACAGAATTTTTATACTATTTCAAGTAAGGATCTTGCAAAGCCCATTTCAATGCAGAATTCCTCCATGCCCTTGGTTTCCCATATTTGCCAATGCTTCATTCTGGCTTACTTTGTTCATTGCCTTCTAGCTCTCTTATGTCCACAACTCAGGGCTCTTTTCCTTGTTCAAGAGAACTGATCAGGTCTGGTTTTGACATTGAAAGACCTGCATCTTGGAAGAGACATATGGCCATACCTTGGAATAATAGTAAAACACATGGATTTCTAGTGAACGACCATACTGACTATATAAGTTGGTATATAATAAAAATTCTAAATATAATAACCTATTTGCTATCTTACAATATTGTCAAACACTCAAAATCATTTTTGTTAATATTATATATCTTGAGTTCCTTTGTAAATTACCACTGAATCTAAATGCAATATGTTGTAAATCAATAAGTTGCAAAACGGTATTTAATCTATGATATGTCTGAAAAGTAAAATGTATTATAAATGTTTGAAAGACGAATGTCATCTCCAGGGACCAGAAATATATTGGCAAGATAAAGTTACACAAAACATTGTGTTTTACATGATGAACTCCAAGATTTTTCTTCAACTGGCATCTGAAAGTAAGGCAGACAATTCAGACACACATGTAAAACATACTTGTAGGAAACAATTATGATAAAGAAGGAATCAGGAAAGAAAAAAGTCTCACCCACAGAGACCATGTTACTGTAGTTCTCCAACACGACTTCCCTGTACAAAGCCCTCTGTGCAAAGCTGAGGCAGTCCCACTCATCTGGAGAGAAATCAACTGCCATATCCTGGAATGTCAAGATTCCCTGTCATGAAAGGAAAGAGTTTATCAAGTGCCCATGTACAAATTTCATTACTTGGACTAAGGATGCAAGAATTCTTCACAGAACTTGATATTTTCTTGCTTAGAATTATAATAAAATCATTCTCCAAAATACAGTCTATGCTTAAAACCTGTGTGCTGAAAACATTAAGCCTTGTAGGACAAACTTAACCTGCATATGGACAGGATGAAAGGGGGTATATGAATGGGAGCCAGAAAATCTTCGTGGGAAGTTTCAATCTTTATCATTTAAGGCCTCTATCCTCGTGGCAAATTGTTTCTTTAGGAACCACAGGTTGAAGAACTATGAGTTGTGAAGG